GAATCGTTAAACAGAATCGAAAATGGAATCGGAATCGTGAAAATCTTATCAATACCCATCCCTACAGGTGTATCATATTTCAGGTAGTAAAACAGGAGTGAATAGGCTCCTGTTTAAGGGCAGTGGGTACATTGGAATTTCATGCAGTGTGGGATGAGTTACTATGGGAATGGAAAACCTGATTCATTTGGGAACAGGTTACAAAACTCCATACCTGTGGGAATTGTATTCCTCTAAGCTCATTGAATGCTTATAATTGCTGGCATATTTTTCTGACAGTTGTGAGTCAGTCTTGTTGCACACCTGTGCCACAAACAGGCCTTTATGCTTCTTATTTCACAGCCTGTTGAGACTCGGTTTATTGATTCTTAAAACCTGTGTAGAATCATTGGTGTTCTTGGTATTAGGAAAGTCCTATCACTTTAAGCTGACAACAGCAGATTGCTGTCACATATTTAACTTGTTATATTGTCACACCAAAAAGCATTAAATTTATTGTAATTATCGATGTGTTATTTAATTGCTTCCCGTCATGCTGTGGCAGGGGTACTCTGGAACACAGAGCTACAGCCAGCCACAATGGACCAAAAAACCCCTCTTAGACACACTCCTAAGGAGTGGCCAATGAAAATGCCCCTACAGGCTGCTTATGCCTGAGTAACAGGATCTCTAGTTAAGTTGCTGTGGTGAAGGGTATGAGCCAGTTTAAGTTGTCCCATTCATGGTGTCATGGGAGAGCTGGGGCAGGGCTTTTCACCTGATCCAACCTTCTCTGGAGCTACTGCTACATGTTGCCTTGAGGAAGGATTACATACTTGATTAATTGTAGAGTTGATTAAAATAGAAAATATATGTGGATTGTGGTTGTCCACAGTCCACATATATTTTACTTATATCGATATAACATTATAAATATAAGCTAAACATCACATTGTAGAAGCTGGAAACAATGCTGATGTGATGTTAAGAGCTTCATAGCGTACAAGTAATCAATCACCGAACAATGTAGGGCAATTATTTCAAAGGGTACATAGCATTTTTTTTCTTTATTTTCCATCTTATGTATCTATCTTAAATATGGTCATTAATTTACAGGCGCTCGCTCTTAACAAAAAGAGGCCATTATTTATGAGGGTGCAACCAATCATAAGAAAAGAGCTAAACTAAACCAACTCAACTAAAAGACTTGTGTGAGACAGAGGATGAACTACATGTGTAACTGTACCTGTGAAAGATGTACAGGGATAATTGTGATCTATTCAGTTGTTTAAGAACAAAAAATTGAAGCTGAAAATGTAGGTCCACTTTAAGTTTGAACTAATTATCACATTTTTTTCTTATCACCATTTAGCAACCCTTTTTGTTTTTCGTCAGTTAACATCATGAATTGTTTCACAGATATTTATGACAAGTTGGAACAAGTCGAGCCTTTCAGTCAGTGAGGTGTAAAACAGTCTTAACAGTCTAAGAAAACAGCCTGGGGAAAAAATGTTGAGAAATGAGAAAAGGAGGGAAGTGTATGTAAAGACTTAACTGATTTTACTAGTTAATGATTTTTTTGTGTGATCAGCTGCCTAGAACTGCTAATCATGTTTAATTTACTGCAAAAAACAAAACAAAAAAAACCCCCACAGAAAAATCAAACAAAGAAATTTTTTAGGTCTCAAAAGAGACTTTAAAGATCACTCATTCAAATAGTTGTAGATTAACTTTCACAGTGAGGAAATCTTGAACGAGTGAGAAAATATTCTAATCTAAGATCTTGATTATTGTAAGATGCAGACACAGAGACCTGGAGATCGAATGGCTGAGTAGTCATTCCTGTTCTATCTCTTTAAAGTCTGCTTGCCGTCTCCCACCTGGGTCACATGGATAGTTGGTCACGAAGGTGTCTGCACAGACCCTCCCCCTCACTGTCTGATGATGAAATTAGTTTTAATTGTGTTTCAATCTAAAATCGCTGGCTGCACTTTATTAGCTGATAATTAAATGTTGGCTAATTAAGTGTAGCCAACACTTAATTATCTCAACCAAACCAGTCCTTCAAGGGTTTTAGAAACTTGAATATCAACTGTAATTTTCTTGTGCTTACTATATGTCAAAATGTTTGTAAAATAGATGGACATAAGGCCATAGGCAGTGGAGTTTTCCTCCCCCAGAATTCATGGAATTCCTCTTATATACAGTTCACCCATTGTCTGGCCCCTCGGGCCAAACAGTAAGCACAGTTCCTGTAGTCAGCTCTGGTCAGAGCTGCACAGCGATCAAGGTGTCCAAAGCTTAAAGTAAAATCAGTGTCCTTGACCTTGTTACGTTACTTCCATCTGTATTTGAGTGACAAATGCTTGGCAGGCGTGGCGAGTTTCCTCTCTCCAGAATAACGGCTGGGGCTGGGCTATGTTTACAGGTACTGCAGGATAATCAGCTGGTTATATGCTGGTATAGATCAGGACTTCCTGTCCCGCTTAGCTTGATTATGAAAAATATTACAGCTGTGCACCCTGAGGACAAAACACATTGAAGAGTGGAGGCACAAACATTAAAACGGCTTTTCAACTGACTCCTTCCTGTGACCCAGACAGTTCCTGTCAGAGATCTATTTATGCTGAAGCCTCCAGGAACAGAAACTCCAGGATGCAAGTTCCACCTGGAAGCTTTCTTTGTATTGCAGACAGTGTGATAGTTCTATACTACCCTCCGTGTTTAAATTAGATCTCTTTCAACTAGAACCTCGGACACTGCACGGGTCAGTCAACTGGCCATCATGAGAATGGAAGCACCGAGTCCCTGCAGACTTTATCCCCTGACAGTTGAGTTCTTTAAACAGAATGGCTGTTTCCTGGGTGTTGACAGAAAAAGAGAATTTGGGGTGTTTTATACAACTCAGAGGCTACTCGCTGTCATTAAGCAGCTTTCTGTGGCCTTAGATTGTTTGGGTAAAAACTAGACCTTTTTGGATAAGAAACAGCAGTTTTTTGAGTAGCTGGCAGAATGTTGATCCAGAAAGGAGTTAAAAACATTCTTGATGTCATAACAGCAGCTACTGGAACGTTTTCACAGTACAAAATGGAGAGAAGGAAACCGTTGTCTCTCAGTCTGGCTTTTGAGGCCAGAAGGGGAATTAAAGAAAAGTTTTTCTTAATGTTTCTGGGTGCCTAACATTCTTTATCGTTTTACGAGGGAGGCCACAGTCTGGTGCAGGAGCATGACATGTGCTTCACTGTATGCTTTAGCCTGAGCAAGAGTAAAGATGAAGAACCCACAGTGAGAGGCATGAGCTGTGGGTACTTAACAGTCCAGAATTTCCCACTGCAGGCAGCACAGACCAAACACAGTCACACCCTGTTTGTTGTGTTAAAAGGAATTTAAAGAATAATGAAATGTCAATGTTGTGTCAAAACTTGCTTGTGCTGGCCATTCTCTGATCTCTGCTGTTAGACTGGGGTCAAATCACACAAACTTTCCAAACTGAGAACAACAGATTGATGCGCCTCTGCTTTCTGAGAGCTTATTGCATTGTTGGTGACTTGTTGTTTTTTGTTTGGTCATCAGATACCTTTCATCATGCGGGATCCTGATGATGCGTGCGCACCCACTGCTGAGTGCAGCCGTGCTAGGGCGCCCCATCACACTGCCTTCACGCAGCTTCTTCAACCTCGCAGATTCCTTCTCCAAGAGGAAGGAGTACTCAGAGAGACGCATCATTGGGTGAGTCAGGATCCACTTACATTTTTTTTTGTCATTTTTATTTTACATTAATTTATTTTTTGCCTCAAGACACGTTTGGACATAATTTTTATCTCAGGAGGAGACAGTGTCTGCGGGCAAAAACTTGTATTTTGTATAGAAACAGTTTTTTCAGCTCTCTCCTGCAAGTGTTTTTTTCCCCCAGCTTGTATTTAACCACTTAAAGTCCTTAAAATATATCTTTAGCTCCTGTTTGTGTTTGTTTGACTGAAATACTCTGACCCTCCTGAAAACTTAAAAATAGTTTCACAGGAAGCTTTTGAAAAAGGATGGAAAAACTCATTCATCCATCAGAATGGCTCCAAGCTTTCTAATTCCTCTCATAACTGGCATAGATTTTTGGCGGTAGCACATTGTTAAACAATGACGTCATGATTTGTAGAATGCCTGAGTCACATGCGAGCCCTTTGACTTCTATTTCTATCCTGTGCTCTGACTCACAGATAAAAAAACAGCTGAAAACATGTTTACACACACACACAACAAAATGATCAGAAATCAGTAATGGCACTGATAAAGAACTGGACCTATGAGCACAATCAATAATGCCACCAACAAAGAGAAAGTCTTAATCAATATCCATAATTACTTCTCAGTGTCTTTCTGTGATATCAAATCAGACTTTACGTCTGGGTGGTCCTGCTGCTGAGCTTTTATGTCCATTGCAGAAGAGATGAAATGTAACCAAACCACACGGCTACAAGGGCTGAAATTGAAGCTCCAAAATATGATATAATGCACCAATGTCAGTGATCTCCAGTATTGGCAACATGTGGTGCGTTCAGCTGCTCTGAAATGCCCTATGTACCAGTGAGTGTTTGGAGTCTGGTCTCTGTATCTGTACCCTACGTGTGTGTGTGTGACGCACTAAATGTCCTCCTGTGCTCCTCAGAGAGGTCATACTCACTAAATCTGCTTGTATAAATAGACATGGGCACTGGCAGCTATTTTCCCTCAGCTGGACGTCTGGAATTATGTAACACGGTGTCTGTACGTGTCTGTCATTCAACACCTCCAACTTTTGTTTTGTGTGCTTTACTGCTCTTCTTTTGCCCTTATTCCAACATCCCTTACTGACCTATTTGAGCCTTTTCTGGGTCGACGCTGTTGTATTATGGTTGGTGTCTTGTCACACAGTTGCTGACCTTCATCTCCTTGGTGACGTGCAGCCTTGCGTTAACATATTCGCTCTCTCTGTTTCCGTGTCCCTGCAGATATTCCATGCAGGAGATCTATGAAGTGGTGGCTGAGGTGGAAAACTACCGCCTCTTTGTTCCCTGGTGCAAGAAGTCTGAGGTGGTCTTCAAGAGATCCGGCTTCTGCAAGGCCAAATTAACTGTGGGCTTCCCCCCTGTAGTGGAGAACTACACCTCCCTCGTCACTACAGTACGCCCTCACCTGGTCAAGGTAAGATACTGCTTCAAGCTCATGGTTAAAAAACATCCACTGTTGATGTTAGTACTGTGACATTATTAGGAAAACACAGAGTAGGTAAAGGAAAACACTCAATCTAAAAGAAACAGACTAAAACGGTAAGAATGAAAAATTCATTTAGATGGACGTCACAGATTAAGCTGGTTTCAAGTCAAAGTCAGGATACGGTTTTTGAATGAAGATTGGCACAACAAATCATGAGCTCCCATTTAGTAACCTTCATAGTAGCTGTATGAAGTCGTCAGCCTATTCAATAAACACTCAATTTTACAATATTTTGAGTTTTCTGGCAGTTATTTCATGGTTCAGGCTTTAAAGTGTTAAGAAAAAGAAAAAGGTCTGCAGCTAGTCAACACAGGCCCGCGGTCTGTGCTGGGGAGACACTCTTGGTGCCTATTCAGCTCGACTCTACTATGTTACCGTCGTTTTCCATTGCAGTGGAGTACCACCTAATGTACACATTAGGATGATGGTTGATCTATTGCTTTTTGTCAGACTCGGGGACCACTGTGTTGTTTTGGTTTTTTTTCAGGTGTTTTTCCTCATTGTTGAGTTTTAAAAATGGTGGTATTGATTTTTGTGAAAGAAGTGCTCTAATGATTCAGACGCCATTGACTGGCCAATGCGTGGCACACAGTCTGTCGTTGTCACATTTTTGGATTGCCTCAGGCTTTCAAGCCTGACCAAGTTGTTACTTAAACTACCCTGTACCAGGTACTGCCACCTAATGGAGAATCCTAAAAACCCTGTTGTGTCGAGCCAAGTGGGTACTAGTGGAAAAGGACTGTCCGTGTTAAGTCCTGATTAACTTCTTCCTGCAACGTTGTATATTTTCCTCTCGTTCGTTATTTATCCCTGTTGTCATTACACAACATGTGATGGAAAGTTGGCCACACAAGAAGGGGGTGTAAAAAGCTGGCTGTCACAGAGACGTGAAGGCTGGCACAAATAGCTGAATAACAATTGAAAAAAGAGGAGACAATACCTGCCCCTGTCTCACCTCAGCAAAGCTGAACAAACAAAGGCTGAGGTGGGTGTGAATACCATTAGAAGATAACACTCAGACGGCACCTCTCTGAGGTGTGAAAGGTGCGAGAGACATTTGCAACACTATCTGCTCTTTTCAGCGAGGCAGGGTTATCAGCCTTAAATTCAACGTCTGTAAAATGTAAATAGAACAGACTGCACTGCTTGGTGAACTATCACACTGACTGAAAATCATTCAGGCTGGAGTGAGAAGCACTCCACACTTTTTGGGTGTGAAAGTGTAAACTGTAAATATCACCCTAGTCAAAACAGGCCGTCTTTGAAGCTGGGATTAGGTGCAAAGTTCAGCTGGAAATTCTTTTTCCTTTGTTTGGCTGCTCAGAGGGTGTTTGCAGTGTTTTCTGAGGCTGTAAAGTCACAGTTGTTGCTCTAAGCAATTCACAAATGCAATGTCTCTCCTGTTGCTGACTGACCGCAGAAAACTTGTACATGTTGCTTTTCAGGCATCGTGCTCGGAGGGTAAACTGTTCAACCACTTGGAGACGATGTGGCGTTTCAGCCCTGGTCTCCCTGGGTACCCCCGGACCTGCACTGTGGATTTTGCTGTAAGTACAAACAGCTTGTTGCAGGGCAACATACTGGAAAATGTCCACTATGTGAGAATGTGCTCTGTGATCATGTGTTGGCTCATCTTGGCATGTCTGGATCAGTTTCATACAGTCACAAAGTTAGAGACTCAGCTGCTAACTTTATCGTCTCCTCTTCCTCCTCAGATCTCCTTTGAATTTCGCTCCCTCATCCACTCCCAGCTCGCTCACGTGTTCTTCGATGAGGTGGTGAAGCAGATGGTTTCTGCGTTCGAGCGGCGTGCCTCCAGTGTTTACGGAGCCGAGACGCCCATCCCGCGCGAGCTCATGTTCCACGAGGTCCACCACACGTAGCGACAACCTCCCTCTGCTGCACAAACACGGACCCACAAACAACAACGTCAAAGAGCCCGAAGAGAGACTATCTGTGTTCCAACTGAAAGTGCCTTTCTCACAACAATGAAACAATTTCCTGTGTCAGATTTTAAAGCTGGTGTGGATCCTCCAGCTGATTTTCACCTTGGTGCTAATGCAGGTTCCTATATCAGACCTTGATCTGGTGGTGAATCTGAGCCCGCAGGTCAAATGGAGGCCCCACGGTGCGTCAGGCCAGTGCGTCATCACTTCTGTACACATTAGCTATAGGGATGCAGGCACACAACTGAAAACGGAGACAAAGCAATGATGAGCTGCAACATACAGAGTCTATTCAGATATTTTAGATATTTACTTTTGCACACAGATTCTCTAACGTTACATTTATCTGCACCTAACAGTCTAAGACATGAAGATATTCAGTTTCACACATGACACAGGAAAGCAAAGAGTTCAGCTGGAGCCAGACAATGACTGAAATTATTCCGGAAGCTGCTGAATAATTTAAACCTTTTTTTTTTTTTTTAAGTAAGCTGTGTTTCCACCAGATGGACCAGAGTGTAGGTTAAGTTCCAGAGGAAAAGGTTTCTGCTTACACTTCTCAAAAGTACAGGAACGTCAGAGGGGAGTGTGGCGTGTGATTGGTGGCGTACTCTGAAGTACGGAATTACCACCAACTACTGGACTTTTTTTTTGTGTATAGTCTAATGCTAAACCAGCTGTCACCTATTTATAAATGGACTAATTTGCTGCTAATCTGTATGAAGGAACAGTTTAGTTCCTGGAACTCTGGACACTGAATGGAAAAGCAGCTTTAGAAAGAAAAAAAAAACACAGGCTCCAGCTGCTTGAGTGTGTGTTGTGTTGTGTTTTGTCAAAATGATTGTGAAACTGAAGATTTTTTTGGTCTTGGACTGTTGGTCGCACAGTTGAAGACATTGCAGTGCACTGTGTCAAAACACGCAGGGCTTTTCTCAATATTTACTGACAGAAATTGAGGATTGTGAAAGCAAACATTTATTGTGGCTAGCCTAGTCTGCTGATGAGCACCACTTGAACATTTCTCACCCCGTATGGTTCTTTTAGTGCAATGGAAATGGAAAGGCAGCTTCATTTATATTCCAAACACAGAGGCAAAGAAGAGCATTAGACCAACATCACAATAAAAGCAGAAGAAATTCACTGAATATATAGCAACGTGACATGTAAAGTATAAAATTAAAAAAATGAAAGACATAAAGAAAGATGAAAAAAGGTCCCAGTGAGAGACAATACAGGATGTAGTGACGCCAAAACAAAGTGACGCAGTTTCAGGGAAGCACAAGGTTACTAATAATGCCCAGATGCCGGAAAGCTTTCCTGCCTTCCAAAATGCACTTTACTGAAGTACATAGTGTGCACACAGCTGGGACATACTGTGCCATAACATTGCACCTTGAACTCTGACCCTCTCGCTGTATCTGGCATGGGATTGTAGGTCAGAATGGCCAGAAAAGCACACACATACTCCGTACCCCCTCTGGATACTGTAGAACATCCTGGTATTTTGGCATTTATACTAAATCTTTTTTCTTTTCTTTTTTTTGTGGCAAAGTCCATAATAGTGTAGTATGAGTAATGGAAGTCAGAACCAACACCACTGAAATCCCATATCTTTGTACCAAAGGTAGAGCAGAGTCCTGCCATGTGCCCATGTTGGGGCACAGAGACTGTTATGAATCCCCTGTTTTAACAGAAATTCTGAAAACAAACCAACATGTTGTATCATGGCCAGCAGATTAGACACTCGCTGGATGTCTAACTGCTGACAGACTAAGCTCCTGTGCTGCTTTATTTTCAGTGTGGATGGACACTGGATTTCTATCATTACTTAAATGCTTTTTCAATTTCAACAGCAGTAGGTGGAGATATTTGGGCTTAAGTGTGCAATAGCAGCAGTGTGTTGTAGTCATGCCAAATGCAGCCGAGCAAGTGTGTAAAACCCACTGCTGATGTCAGGGCCCAAAGCAGCTGCTAGGCAGGAGCCAGGAGCTCCTTTTATCAAACTAATGAGAATTATTTTTGGTTGTAGTGTTGTTTTTGATTTAACTCCTGCTGTATGCAGATTAGCTATTAGGATATTTTAGATTTAAAGAAAAGCTTTACATTACGTGCTCCAAGTGGCTCCATCTTCAGTCACAGTTCTGATGTAGTGGACCCTGACTGACCACAACTTCTTTCAAAGTAGCCACTCTCTAAGTGAACAAGTCATACACTCATTTAAAGTGTCTCTTTTTTTGTACCAGGCTGTAAACGTGTTTTTGTCCTGCTGTAAAGTTTGTTTTTAACATTTTTAACATGGAAGTCTATGAGGATTGGCTCACTTCTGGGGCCAGCCTCAAGTGGCCACTACAGGAAATGCACTGTTAGGCAATTCAGCTTTGGCTTCATTCATCATCATCATGTTATTAGCAGCCTCCATATATGGTCATAAATGTGCTTCATGTTTGACCTCTGACTGATGTCAGAGTGGTTCTCCTTCAGTGTTGACCCCTCACAGCCCAGTAAAAATAAACTAAGAGCAAGCTCTATGGAGAATGTAAAGGGGCGTAGCCCTGCACATGCTGGCTCAGTCACCCCTACTGTTGCTTTGCTTCACACTGGCACCTTTCAGTTAATTATGAATGTGAACCGCGTCCCACCAGCCAATTGGAAAAGCGAAGCTTGGACTTCTTAATAGTTTATTCAGTGGTGTCTGGTTCTGCAGGATCACGTGTTTGTGTGCATGTAAGGATTATTTAAAGGTAACTTAGTTTGTGCTGAATTAGCGGTGATATGTTTTGTAGGCAAATACAAATCAATAAAAAGGGAATTGGCTGCAAGTGAATACAACTGTGCGGCAAGACTTTCTGTTGATCATGAAACAAAACCGTGAGAAAATGATACTAACCCTGATAAATGCTAACCTAAAGAAGAGAAATTAAATGTTTAAATGCAACACATTGATTCAGAGAGTGCACCGTGATCATTATTATTAGCAAACAGCTCATTGTTCAGTCAGAAATGGCTTTTACCATCACACAACCAGCATGTTACCTGTAGCGGTTTGATAAAATGGGGCTCAGATCAGGATGTTTCCGTGATGAGTCTGCTGACCTCAAACCTTCCACCTGTCCAACACACAGCACCCACAGAGTGCCTCCAGACCTGCTGGCAACATATTTATCTTCATTTATAAAGGAACAATAGACTCATTTTATCATATTTATTACTTAGTTTAGGTGTAAATGCAAGCACTTCACTCTGGGAGCCAATGTTAGCATTTAGAAGCAGTATTCCTAATACAATGTTGTTTTGCAGCACTGGGGGAACTCCTCCATCAGTGTTGCTGTATCAGTATCGTTATGTTTATACACTGCTCTGCATTTGCCTTTTCTCTGCTTACTATAACCGCTTTACTGCTTATGAACGCTAACTAAGGTGGCTTCATGTGAAGTGTAAGTGTGTAAATACTAGTTTTAAGATCACATTAGAGCTACACACTGCTGTTAAAGAGTATGATTATGGATTTGTGTCAGCTTGTTTCATGCAATGTGGAAAGGACGTTTTGTTTGTGTTGAAAAACATGGACCGACTGCATGATTTATAAAGTATTTTTTCTAAAAAACAAACCTGGGTTCTCTGGTGTGTTTCCTCCCTCTGGGCTGGGACCAGACAGAAATAGGGTCGTCACGTGAGCATTGAGAATAGACCTGCTGCAAGTGAAGCATCTGAACAGTCTGTCATAAGCTTTGGAAATGTCACTGCAGGCAAAGGGCAAAGTAGAATCTGAAATTTCCCTCTGCCCTTTCAAAGCTAACACGGATCACTGGGAACATCTGAAAACAGACTCACAATTATTACTGTGACATCACTCGATTGGTAGTTGACCTACTCGTACAGTTACAGGACATTTTAAAAGGTGGCTCCTCGTGAACAAAAGACAGAGATTTGAAAACTGGGGACCGCATGTGTAGTTCATTCACAGTGATGACCGTGACATATGAAACTGAAACCAAAAACTCCCCAGATTAACTCGTAAAAATACCCCACACAGCTTACATCTCCTAAGTTCAGCATGTAGCTCACTGAATTGTGTAAAATTATTATTTTTTTGGGAAAACAGCTCAAACATGCACTATGAAAAATATCTGAACCTTTTCATGTGTAGTGTGTCACGTCTTATAGCCTAAAGCACATTTAACCAACAGAAGCTGACCCGAAGAGATTCACGGGCAAAACAACACATGTAGAGAATAAACTGCTTTGGTGTAAAAAGTTAATATTTGAGACAAGTGGTGAGTATTAAAGATTTCTAACTGCTCACCCACTTTGTCACAGGCAGCAGCTAATCAGTGATGTGCTGAGGCCTCTGCCACGCTGAGGACACCATATATGCCCACACAGCCATGCTCAGTAGCGTTGTAGCTTTAGTGGAAGGCTGTGCAACGTTACAAGATTACTTGCAATACCGGCTGCAACTGAGTACATAATCAAATGTTACATCAAGGTTATGGACAGCCTCATCTTCATCTTCGTCTCCCTAATTGTGTTACATAATGATTTAGTAACCAGTAAGAGGAGAGATACACCCAAAGGTGTTTGTTTCCTGCTTTGCATAATTGGTAAACAAAACAAAACCCTATTTGGCTAATACACAATAAGTTCCTGCAGATGTTTCATAATAGAAGCATTATTAAGAAATGAAATGTTTTCTGTCTAGGGAAGTGATAGAGGGCTTTTAATGAGTCTGTATAAACTGTAGTGCAGGAACTTTAACAAAAAGTAATACAATACTACAAGTAGTGCTTTTAGAAATGAAGTCTCTCACTCTGAATGTCCCTGTTGGACATTCAGAGTGAGAGACCCCCGTCTGTATCACCGTGTCATCTATTTGGACTAAGACTCCTATTAAAGCACATGTCAGTGAAAGGAGCTCCTTTCATGTGCTACAGTCTGACCCAGGTGAGTATCTGTGACATAGCTACATATTACACAAAGAATAAATATTTACATGCAATTTCCTAGAAATAATTTATTAATCGTTTGGACTAGAAATACTTTGATGAAACTCCCCTAACCTGTCACATTGGTTTGTCCCAAACCGTCGGCTGTTAAATTGAGTACCAGTACTGACTGGTACTCAATCACCAATTCTCTGTAGACTATGTGACCCAGACTCATGAGCAGTTCTGATTAATGTTGGTAAAGAGGGATAGATGTGGGCTGTACGATGGTGGAGTAAAGGGTAAGAATGAGGGTGATGAGGGTTAGGATGAAGAGTGCTCTGCTGGTGCCAACCCCAGCTCTTCGTTCTTCCCCCTCATCCGTCTTTTCTTTTGCTCGGTCATTAGTTGTGTTCTCCGTCTTTTCTCTCACTATTTCCTTCACCTTACTTTCCCACCGTTTCTATTTCTGCCTTTCACTTTCGTTCTTTAGCTTCCTTTTTGTGTCTGTCTTTTTCCTGGTTTTCTTCCTCTTTGTTTTCTGGTGCTTCCTTCTGAGCACTTGTTTCTATTTGTTGCTTCTCCTTTGTGTTGGATACAAGCTTCTGTTTCCCAATGTTGATCTGCTAAACTGTGAATCAGTCTGAAACTGGCTGTTAGGCCCTGAATTTGGTTGTTGAGGAGTTTGATCTTCTCTGTTACCTTCCTTGCTGTCTCCTTCCATTCTTCCTTTTTCACCAGTTTCTTACAGAGACGGTTTTTATGTTGTCCATCCATCACCTCTCTGAGCCATTTCCTCTTTAATGGTTGGCTCTATCGATTCACCAGTTCTGTTCCAGTGTTCTTCCCTTGTACTTTTGTTTGAGCTCTTCTTGGAGCCTGAGGACATCATTTCTATGTCCATTTTGCAGAATAAAATGCATCTCTCAGTCCCTGTATGATTGCACTTTGAGGAATCCGATTAGCATACTGTTGCTAAACATGTGACCCAACCTGTAGATTTAAAAAATATGAAACAGTTGGAAAGCCTCTGATTGGCAATGGCCTACTTTTCCAGCATGGCAATGATCCCGAACACACTGCCAGTGCATTGAAATGAGATAGAAAAACATACAGTGCAAGGATAAGGCTTTGGAGTTGACGTCACACCCAATGCATTGTGGGAGCGCGGCGCCATCTTCCTAGGCCACGAATCAAAACAAACACACTTTGGAAGGACGGTTGCTAAAAACATGCTTAAAAGCAGTTTAAACGAAAAAGGACGGTACAGAGACAGATTGCGTCCGGATGTGTGAAAGAGACGGTACTTGCAGAAAATAGCGTGCATTGGAAATGTGGACCCGTATGAAATACGGCCGTGGAGTAGAAACCCTGAAGACCAAACCGCTATTGACATAGCCTGATATATTCTCGTACCTTGTCTGTGGAGTCAGCGCGTACAAGGTGAACCAGTTTCCCAATTATAAATCTCTGGAGGGACACATCCAATTCACCAAAGATTGGATACAAGATTTATGAGTACGTCGACGTACAGACAACCATACAGAATAACTAAATCCTTCAGGACAGTGTCACATCAATGCACTGAACTCACTATGTTATCCCTCTAACAGCCTCCACGTGTTCACTGTAATTTCCCCCTCATGAATGAATTTATGCTGCACTAATTTGAATGTTCGGGGGAAAATCAAACGCATTTTACTCACAGAACTCGAGCTGACTTACCTTTGTTTGAATGACGACCCAGATAGCAAGGAAACATTGAAACAATGTTGAGTCAATATCAGGCGATGTCATTGAATCAACGTTGAAGTGTAACGTTGACCTAACGTCACCCTTGCACCCTTTTTTAATGTTGAAACAACGTCAGGTTTTGATGTTGAATCAATGTTGAAACCTGACATTGATTCAACGTTATATTTTCTAATACTACTAGCGCTGGAACCCGGTCACGATGTGTTTCATCCATTTCATTGGCTGGTTTGCTGCAATAATGCCAAATAATTAGCAACTCTTTAAATAGAAGGTAGTTCTGCAAAATCACTCATTAGGATGTTTGTTCTAATTTGCTATGACCTCAGAGTGCATAAAATAAAACTAATAGACTACAAAAGAGTGATTTGAACACATTTAGAACTTACCGGAATGAAAATGTCTGGAGCACCAACAGATATTTGGAGATGGAAGAGAACTGGATATCAGCTCGTCTCACAGCTGCTATCCAGGCTAGATGCCTTCTTTTGGTAAGGTCTGCTATATGAGCTCCCTCATGTTGCTTCCAGGTGGGGAAAAAATAAAAACATCCATTCTCAAGCTTATTCCCTTGCAGGTGTTGTGCCAAAAAGTGATTGCCTGCCAAAAAGTGATTTCCAATGTTTCTGTGTATTTTTTATGTGTAATATCTTTACGTATGTTTGTAAACAGACTTTACAAAGGGGTTATATATAGAATTAAAAAAATTATCTGTTTTTCAAGTATCTTTACAACTCTGTGTTATTGTACTTACATTATAACCAATCCGGTCCTTTATCCCCACTTAAAATATTTTTAC